CCCGGCGTGGGGTGTGCAGGGTCAGCTATCAATGGTTCCCTCTTATCACTGATGTTTCTATCTTCCTCTCCCTCTCTCTTCCTCTCTGAAATCAATTAAAATATATATATAAAAGAAAGATATATATATATATATAAAAGAAAGGTATGTAGTGCTAGATAGACATGAGCAAAGCAAGGACAATGGGCCCGGTACAGAAACTCACCAGGGTAGAAAGCCCCAGATACCTAGCAAGGGGCAAAATTGGGAAAACAAGAACCTTGCCTCCAAGGTAACCTATCTTCCCCTAGCACAGTGGTCAGCAAACTCATTAGTCAATAGAGCCAAATATCAACAGTACAACGATTGAAATTTCCTTTGAGAGCCAAATTTTTTAAACTTAAACTATATAGGTAGGTACATTGTTATTAACTTAATTAGGGTACTCCTAAGCTGGCCTTTGCTAAAAACATCCTCAATCTGATTGAGGTACGTTCACTGAGGTCTACCCCTTCCAACTCTCCCATCCACACTTGTCTTGTATACTTGTTTTGTCTATCTCCTTTCGTTCATCCTCTCTATATGTCCAAACCATCTCAACACACCTTTCTCCATCCTCGACACTACATCTTCTTTCACTCCACAATGTTCCCTAAAATTAACTTAATAAACTTTACTTAAAGTTTTAAGTCAACTTCGCACTGTACGTGCACGCCCGCACGTGGTATTTTGTGGAAGAGCCACACTCAAGGGGCCAAAGAGCTGCATGTGACTCGCAAGCCACAGTTAGCCGACCACTGCCCTAGCATATCCGTGGTTATGCAGTTTAGAACTCCTGACCTTTTCCTCCCTAAACATTACACCCAAGCCTCAGTTGTAGTTCAGCCCCAGGCCCAGAAAAGCAACAAAACTAGACCAGCAACCCCGTGGCTGACCTCAGGACCAGCTGATTGATTGGCTGGCACCACCCATGTCCTGTTGCCAGCCAGTCAATCAGTGGAGACCACAACCCTGAAAGGACATACCTGGAAAGTTGCTGAATATTCTATTACCATCTCCCCTGGGACCGCCCCTAAAATCCCCACCCTTAAAATCCTTTGGCTGGAAGGAGCACACCTGTGCCTTTCCCTTTCCCTCCCTCCCCCCACTCTCCAAGGGTCACTACCTTGTCATTCCCTTCTCCCTCTCTTCCCCCACAGGCATGCATCCCCTAACCTCTAAGGGACCCCATGAGACTTGCAACCAGGGGAGCAATGGGCGGTGGCAGCTCATCCCAGGCTAACCCCCTGAACCTGTCTCTAAGGCCCCCTTCTCTTTGACTTCTCAGTGAGCAAAAGCAGCCCAGCCTAGGCTTTTGTGTTGCCTAAGTATATTTTTTCTGCCATCATCGACCCTATGTCCCCTTGGCTCATGCTGTGCAGCCCTTTCCTTTGGATATCCCATCCTCCATCTCTTTTCTCTAAATAAAGTAAAATTTTCTTTAATCACCGTCTGAGATGGCTATTTAGCCTGCCTGTACATACCATCACACCATCCGTGTTAATCTTTCCTGTACACTGTGCCTGCCTACAGTATCCATGACTCTTGTGATCCCTGCTTCTGAGCACTCCTGTCTTCATCTATAAAAATTGCAGTTTGCTCAGTAGTACTTTTTAGTCTGGTTTTGCTGGCTATTGATTTTTCTGTTAAGTGATGTGTACCATGCATTGAATAGGAATCCTATATAATAAAAGCCTAATATGCTAAGTATCCGGTTGTCCTGTCGGCCATTGAACCAATCAAAGCGTACTATGCTAATGATATGCTAAGGCCACTCAACTGCTCGCTATGACGTGTGCTGACCACCAGGGGGCAGACAGTCAACCAGTCACTATGACATACACTGACCACCAAGGGGTAGATGCTCTGACTGGTAGGTTAGCTTGCTGCTGGGGTCCAGCCGATCAGGACTGAGCAAGACAGGCCAATCACGCCCTGGAGCCCTCTCGCTGTCCCACCCTGGCTGGCCAACCTCCCCCTGTCCCTCCCCAACCCTGATCGTGCATTGGTGGGGTCCCTTGGCCTGGCCTGCACCCTCTCGCAATCCAGGCTGGGGGACCCCCACCCCTCCGAGTGCATGAATTTTGTGCACTGGGCCGTTTTTCAAAATGCTGACACGCCGAGCTCAAAAGGTTCGCCATCACTGCTCTAGTACATTATAAAGTCTGGGCAAATGGGCCTGTATTGATATTCTTTTTTATCTTGGCCTCTTGGGCACTGGTGCTTTTAAAAAATGAGACC